AGCTCTCAGATGGAAATGACCTTTTGTGGCCCTGTTTTAATTGCATCTGCCACCAAACGAGCCACAGCAAGAGAGCCGCCAAGTGCAGAGGGAGGACTCCAGCAGGATGCTCCGTGGGCAAACGTTTTCTGTTTTTGGTTTCTCTCTTGCTTGCGGGGAGGAGGATTTTTTTTTCCTTCCTCTTTGCATCCCATTGGCTTTCCCAACCATCTCCAACCATCCCAGCGAGCTGCCTCGCCTCCCCTGGGATCATGAGATGTCACTGAAGAGCTCGGCGGGAGGCCGGGAGGGTTTGCATAGCTCTGTGGTTTGCATGAACGTCCCTGCACAGCCGAGACTTTGCAACGTTACCCAGAGCCTTGGAAACGCTGGCGAGGCACGGAGCAGTGCCCAGCACCCAGGACCGGGAATGGGCTTCTCCTCCTCCAAGGACGTGCTTTCCCTCCCAGCCTGGAGGTCGAGCAGCGGGCAGCGTAGATGAGGACCAGCAGTTGTGGTCCAGCCCATGGGTTTTTTCTCAAGGGGGTTGATTTTTGTTATTTTTTGACTCTGTGATCTGCAGTTTGGGAAGAAAGCCCGTTCCTGGGAGCCTGCTGGGAGAAAGCTCTGGCTTCCTTTGGAAAGCAGGGAGGCAGCTCAGCTCAACGTGGCTCTGGCACATGAGCTTTGGGGTCAAGGCAGAGGGGACAGAGTCTGGGGACAACTGTCCTGATGACACTGTTAGACACCAAAGCCCCCTCCAGCTGGTGGCATCCCCGCTGTGTTGGGTGACTGCTGACCAAGGGCCATGGAGGCAGTTCTCTGCTCCCCTCTGCGCCCAGGCCTGGAGAAACACCGTGTGCGGACAATACGAGGGCCATTCCCTCCCTGCATTTTGGGGAAGCCCGTGGGGTTCTTCAGGAAGACGGTTGGCCACGCTGGCTGCTCTTGTGCTTGTGTCCCCAGCCTGGGCTCCTCCAGGCTCTGCGCCCCACGGCGAGGACCTTCTCCCAATCCCCAGGGGAGAGTCAGCCCTGGCTGGTTTACACCCCTTGGTGGGTGCCAGCAGCGTCTTCTAGTTTGTCTTGGGCATGTCCCTGCGCCTTTGCCACACAGCGACAATAATCTCAGCCTTGAGCAGCAAAGGAAATCTGTGCCTTTGCTTTTTTTTTTTTTTTTTTTTTTTTTTTTTTTTTTTTTCTTGTCTGTCCGCACATCCCTTCCAAATATCCCAGAAAATCCTCCAATTCCTAGTGGCCGAGCTTCATCTCAAACTATGGTTCAATCTTGCTTGGGGATGTGCGCGCTGATGGCAGGAAAACTGAATTTATCAATTCACCTGGGCAAATCTCCCTTGCTGATTGTGACCCTGTTTTGCGTTAGCGAGTGGGAGATGGAGCCCCTCGGTCTGACCCTGCCGGAAACCCATCGGGTCCACCAAGCCGGGGCCAGATTTGTTATTTAGCGAGGCTGCTAACGTAGAAAACGGTCCCGTTCCCAGGTCTCCCAAAAGCAAAGCACAAGCACAAATATCCACCCACATATATTAACGATGCACAAAGGCAGGCGACAGCCTCTGTGTCACACACGTGCTTTACATGAATGCATATATATTTATATACATGTATGCATATTTATACATTCATATTTCTATATGCAGGCACATTTATATGCACATGAATATTTATAGCCATCCAGATATATGCACTGATAATTTAATCCCATGCAAATGTGCATTATAATTTTGCACACAAACGCAGTGTATTTCTGTATCACTTCATGTTACCAGCCCATGGACACTAAAATCACGTCAGTTTGTGTCTAGGTCGCAGACGGGTACAGATGAAGGTGTGGAAATGGCACCCACATAATTGCATAAATACCGAAATTTGTAAAAAAATATATTGTGGTTGTGTCATCTCGATGTACAGCCCCGTGGAGCTGGATTAAAGCCCCGTGGATGTAAGCGAGGAGGGGTAACACATGGACAGCCTCAGCGCTGGCAACGGGAGGGATTTATTTTTTTTTTCTGGAAAATAGTGAATTTGTCAAAATTGCAATTTTTTGGCAACTTGTTTTTCGGGGATTTTTTTTTTTTGGTAATTGAAATCTCTAAGTTACCGTTTTCATCCTGGTGCTGCTTTCCAGCGCTCGCTTCAGAGCAGCGTTCGGTGTCAAAGCGTGCCGTAAATTAATGATAGCAGTAACGAGCGAGGAAACAAAACCCGTGAAAACAAACTGCGGGGCTGCGGATGGGGTTAAACCCGGCGGGAAAGCCAAGCCCCCTCACTTTTGTTTTCGTTTGCATTTCATGGAGATAGATTAGGGAGAAAAAAAAATAAGTAAAAAATGAACATTATTTTGGCTTGATTCAAACCAGCGGTAAAAACTAGCAGTTTTTTGCAGCTGCTGAATTAAACCCCAAGTGTTTATAAAGTGTGTTGGAGATGTATTGGCCTTTAGAGGAGCTGCAGGAATAAATCAGTTTAATTCCCTCAGGCTGCTTTAAACAAGGGTCCGGCCCCGTCCTGGCAGTCAGGGCCACGGGGTGGATTGCCACCACCGGTTAATTTGGTCTCTATAAACTCGATTTTATGCTGGGAGGCAGAGGGGATTCGTGAGCCCTGCGCTGCCGGCTCCCAGCCGGAGGGATGGATCCCTTCTCCCATCGCCGTGCCGCTGCCGTGCCGCTACGCCGGGCGGTTTTTTGCTTTAATAAGGAAAGATTTGTACTTCATCCGTGCGGGGGATTTTCAGGCTGCTTTGGAAAGCGCTTCAGGATGCCAAGTTCAGTCTTGTTTTTCCTTCCAGCTGCTCCAAATATATATATTATAAAAAAAAAAAAAAATAGGGGGCTGAAATGAAGCCTGGAAGCGGCAGCGAGCTGGCGGCGGCTGGGATTCAGGGGAGATGCTGGGCTGGTTGTGTGCTTATGGCATTAATCCCAGTAAAAGACGAGTCACTGGGAGCTGAACGGGTCTTTTGACTCCTAAAAATCTGATAGCAATTGCAAAACCAGGAATACATCTTAAGGATTAAAGGGAATTCATTTCAGATTTGCTCCGCCGGGAAGCGGTAGGATTCGAGTCGGTTTGAGTTCCTCGTTTTAGAGTAACGCCGTTACGTGGTGTAAATCTGAAATAGTGGCACTAAATAAGTGGGGTCACTTTGGATTTAACATCTATGTAACCAGGAGCAGGATTTGGCCCCTGAATTAACGCAGCAGCTGGTTAAATGGGTGTAAATCAGAGTAATTTGGTGCCGGGTGTTACTGCAGATTTACGCTGCCTGTAGGATGTAAACCAGCCTGTCCGGCTCCAAGACCAGGGGGGAATTAATTTCCCTTGGGGGGTTTATTCCCCTTGGTGTGGGGCTGGGCTGAGCCTTTCGCAGTCAGTTCAGTTATTCTGGGTTTGCGTGGGGTGACCCTGGGCAGAGTTTGGTCCTTGTCTGGAAAATGCCTGAAGAATGGTGGAAATGAGGGGGGGAAAAAAAAGCACAAGGGAGGTGATGTGGGGCATGGTTTTGGGGTGCTGGGGGAGTTGGTTTAGTGCAGTTCCTGTTTGTGCAGTGAGAAACGGCTGAGCTGACTCAGGAGGGGTCGGGAATAAATCCCAGCCCTTGCAGAAATCAGCTTTGTGAGAGCGAACGCTTTTGATTCCGGCTTCTCCTGCTGGTTGGCATCCATGGAGCGGGTCCCAGCACCACGCCGGGGGGGTGCTCAGCACCCCCCGAGTCCCACCTAGCCGTCGCGGGGGGAGCAGGACCTGCACCATGCCCGGGGATGCCCCAGGATGCTTCCCCCACCCTGGGGGCTCATTTGCCCCCCTCAGCCGGGGCTCAGCGGTCCCGGCAGGCGGCTGCGGGTCCCATGCTGGGCTGGCGATGCCGAATCACCCCGGCGAGGGCCCAGCTCCCCGTCCGGCTGCCACCGAGGAAAACCCCAACCCCCCTTTGGGATTTGTGAGCGGTACACAGAGCTGGACAAAGCTTTTCTCCTCCCCAGGGGATTGATGGATTTATTCATCTCATCCCTTAATGAGCCGCTTCCAGACCCCAGTAAATTATACGCACCGGGACAGACGAAATCTTGCTCCATAAATCAGATCTGAGGCTGACAAGTGTTGCCTGCATCATTATCCCGGCGAGTTTCGGAGATCCCAGGTATTGCCGCCTCCTTTGCAAATCCCAATAAATCTGGGAGTAATCATTCCCGACAGAGAGCCAGAAAAAGCACCGGAAAACATTTTCTTCCCTTAAAATGTAAGTGGAAAATTTATTGCAGGGAAAGGAAAAGTTTTCTCTGGAGAGTCCGTAACAAACAGCGATGCAAGTAACTCCCTGGGGCTGAGCTGGTGGGATGGTATCGCCTTGTGATTACTGGGATAAATTCATAGCAGCCCCTAAAAATTAGGGGAGATATTTTTGGGGGGGTGAAACAAGGGGAAAAAAAAATTCCAAGTGTCTCCAACTGTGTCCCGAAAGGACAGTGGAGCCAACGTGCCGGAGTCCGTTGCCTTCTGGTTTGTGTTTAGCTTTTGGAAAAAAAAAAAAAATCCCCCATGCAAACCTCCTCTTTCCTTAAGGGGAAGATTTATTTTATTAACTGGCCAACACCTGAAAGTAATCGGCTTTTTTTCTGGTGGCTGGTGGTGGGGGAGAAGGAGCCATCCCCAGGGGCTCTGCGGAGAGGAGAGCTGTATTTTCTCACTGTTGTTGCTCCTGTACCGCATCCATCTGTCCGTCCAAACGGTCTGTATGAGCCTCAGCACTGGGCAAGACCTGCTCGGACAGACGGACAGACGCGTTATGGCAACGTGCGTGGCGCTGGACATGTGTGGGACGCTCTGCCTTGTTGGCGTTTAAGGTGGTGGGTGCTGGATAGGTCCTCACCCTCATGGTCCCATCAAGCAGACAACATCAGGGGATGAAGTGTGTCTCTTTTAGATGGGGAAACTGAGGCACAGGGGGCACCGATATAGATTGAAAACATCCCACCAGCTCTTCCTTGGGTGGTTCTGCTGAGGGGTTGATCATGCTTGGCTGTCTTTACAACCGGGGGAAGCCCGGGGAGGTGAGGTTGACTCCAAGGAGCCTCTTTCATGCATCTCGGGGTGTTTTTTCCCTCCTCACCATGTGCTTCCCACTCCTCCCAGCCAAGGGCTTTGCAGAGAGTTTTGCTTTCACCAAAGGCACATCAGCAGGAGCTCTTGTATTTCCGTAACGGGATTGTTCATGTCAAGACTTCAGGAGGTCGGGCTGGTGGTGATCTCTGTACCTGTCAGGATGAATGAAAGGTGACAATGCCGAGAGCACCGGGGGAGTCGTGCAAAAACCAGATGGGCTGTCAAGGCTTCTTAACTTCCCACCGTTCTGTTACGCCTGCCCCAGCTCCCAGCCTGGCTGGGTTGGCTGATTTAAGGTGTGTGAGGACCAGCTCGTGTGGGAAACAGGAAGGAGCGGGGAAGGGAGGCAGGCAGGAGCAGGGAAAGGGGAGATCAAAGTGCCCAACAGCTCAGAGCACTGGTTGGATGGGCACTGTGGTGCTAGGGTCCAGGATGGATGGATGCATGGATGGATGGATCAGTGGAAAGAGGGGGATGAAGGCAAAGAACAAGGCAGGGTTGGGTAAGAGCTGAGACCAGCAGCATTTAAGCTTTGCTGTTGTTGGGAGATACTTCTAGCAATTGGCTGTTTGGGCTGAAGACCAAGGAGTTGGGTTGGACACACATCATGTTGCTTGGCTGTGGAGGAACTTGTCTATCAGGGTCAGGACCCTGTTTAGGCTCAGGAGATCTGGGTCTTGTAAAGCAAACACTGCTTCTTGGCTTTTCTGGGGGGTTTTGTGCCCAGCCACCACCACGTCTCTGCGGAGTTCTGGAGGGGTCCCAGCACCTAAACCCAACATGGGTCTTCACGTATGTCAATGGCGCAAGCCAAACCAAACCCAGCAGCGCTGGGAGGGTCATGGAACAGGTCCAGGGAGCTGAGTGGCCACCAGTGGGGTCAACCAAATCCCCTTTGGGCAATGGTATCCCCCAAACCACTGTGTCCCACTGCCTCTAGTTCTCCAGCGGATAGGACCACGGGTCCTGCCAGGGTGGTGGAAAGGGTAACCTTCCCCTCCGTGGCCTTGCTGTAGGGTGGAGATAGGGCATAATTCCTGTCTCTCGGGTTTCTTCCCACCTTCTGCCATCGGCGTCTCATCTCCGGATCCCTGGTGCCCCGGTGCTCTGTCCCCGGCATGACCTCCCCTACCCGACCCAGATGGTGAAAGGTTTCCTTCTTGCTCGGCCAATGCTGATAAGGAGAACCAGAAACAGCTTTGACCTTTCAACTGCAAATCTCCCTGCGAGGAGCCGCAAGCTGTTCCATATCTCAAAGGTCCCTTGATAGGAAACAAAAACCATGCCATTGAACTTTTAAGCAATTTCACCCCCCAAAAAATCTTAGGCACCCAAAAAAAACCTCAGCTGAAAACCACTTTGTGGTTTTAACCCTGCTGAGGAAGCGGGCCAGCACGTGCAACTCGTGTAAGAGGTGTTTCGGGTTGATCAGTTGTCTGGAGGGTTGGCCATCTGCTCTCTCCCTCCCTCTTGGCTGCTGCCCTCACCTGTGGAGACCCACTGGTGGGGTGCAAAGACTTGGGGGGAACCTGGCACCTCTTCTCCTCTTCTCTGGGAGTGAGAGCCCCTGATTATGCTGAGACCTTTGCCTCTGCCAGCCCCAGGAGGACTGGGGACATCACTGTTGAGAACTGATGGTGTAAATTTGCACGAGACAGGCTCACTGGGAAAGGATGGTTTAACCCCCGGAATTTCAGCAGGTACATGATGTGCCTATAGAAGCAAATCTCCATTTCTAAGTTTTTTTCTCATCCCAGAGCGGCACAGCACAGCTCAGTGCCATGCCCGGCTCTCTGCTTACACCTTCTGGGTCACCGCTGTTATAGGAAGGTGATGACTGGAGGTGTTGGAGCTCATTAATGGCTTTGAGCAAGTTAATTGGTATAAACACAACAGTGGGAGATGTGGCGGCTCTGCAAAGGGGAGCGTGCCCGGCTCTGAGGCGGGATTGAGCAGAGGTCCCGTGTCTGGGTGGATGATTGGACCCCGGTAACTGAGTTCAGGCTCTCGGGACCACGTTCCCCTCACTGCAGCGTGGACATGGGGTGGAGGAGAGCAGCATGCTGTGAGACTTTCTCCAAATACACCCCCACTTTGTTTCCAGGTCTTAAGTTTTTCCATGCTGGGGTTTTTCCCTGCATTGGGTGTTCACCAGGAACAGCTCCACAGTCCCAGGTGATGGGAGAGCCAGAGCATCCCACAGAATCAGGCCCTAAACACCAGCAGGCTCCCTATATTTCCTCTGGTACTAACCCTACATTTTCCCTGCTGTTGCTTAACCCCATTAATGGGATCTGAGCTGGTTCAAAGCCTTCAGAGCAGCAGGGGGGGAAGCTCAGAGTAATAAGTGAAGGCGACCCCTGCCAAATTGGAGTAAAAGATGTCTTCCTCCCACTCTCCAAACAGCCCACAGCATTTTCATATTAAACCTCTGTGCCCAGAGTAGTTGGAGAGGAAGAAACAGCACAGACCAGCCCTTTCTGCATGGAGCCAAGGGTTAAAGGGGCTGTTGCCTCCCAGAGCAGGGGTAAGGGCTCAGCAGCTGACACCGTGGTCCAGCGCCCAGGAGAGGATGCTCTCGAAGGGATCACCCAGAGAACTGAGATCCCAGGGTGTGAAGTCTATGGGAAAGCCACCAAATCCAGGTAATTTGGGGGAAAGTGAGTGTTTTAGGGGGTTGAGTCAGGGGAAAAATTATGATGTGGTCCAGGCACCACATTCCTTATTTGAGGGCCATTCTGGGGGAAAGTGTTGACTTGTGATTAGTTTTTTCCATGCTGGTTCTTCTAAGCATCTTTGATGGGGGTTCCCCACCCCAGTTCAGCTCTGCAGAACCCCAAAGCTGGAGTGAGATGCTGGGGATGGGACCCACGTGGTGGAGGGGCCAGGGATGGAGCTCCTTGCACTGGGCACTTGGGAGGGATGTGGGTCTCTAGGTGTGGGGGTCTTGGCGGACCCTGCGGTGTGGGGGGGCTCTGTGCGAGATGGTTTCATTGGGGCAGAGGTTCTTGGAGCAGAGGTGCTGACACAGGCTGAATTTTAGCAGCTTAAGTGACCATTGTATTTGGGTCTAAGTCACTAATTTGGGTAATGCAGATCCCAGCACGTCCACTCTGAGGCTGAGCGAGTTACCCCATGAGCAGGATCTGACCTGCACCAGCAACTCCCCTTTGCTCCCCTCCTTCCTTCCCAACAGCACCTCTGTCTGTCCCTCCCCTGCTCTTGAGGTTTTCTCCCGGCCTCATTTCTGGGAGGACATTGCTTGGGTGAGAGGAAACAGGGCCCCCACCCTTCTCCTGGGGACACTCATGACCAGTAGGACAGCACTGCCTCGTCCCCAGGATGGGGGTTAATGGGTCCCACCTGGCTCCCCTGTTGCTCTTCAGCTTGTCGGGGGGAAGTAAATTCAGTAACTTCACGAAGGGCATGAGCTCAGTGGAGCTGGCTGAGGCGTTCCTCGGCATTAACCCCGCTTCCTCTGCCGCACGGAGGAGTCACGGCTGTTAGCCGAGGCCGGAGGCTGAAGAGGAGGCAGAATACCCCTCTCTGTGCCTCTGCTCCCCAAGGAGCCGAGAAGGGGTTGCCCCATCCTCTCAACCCAACCTAAACTGCGCCTGGGGACCTGCTGCTCCGGGCAGAGGATAAAATTGCAGGGGAAGGTTAATCAGCAGCAGGGAGCAATAACGTTGCTGCAGTGTCTTTCTCCTCTGTCTGTTTGCTGTAGTGCTGTTTGATTTGTTCTTCATCCCTTCAGCGTGGCAGCATCCTTTCTGCCTGTCAGACCAGCCCAGGCAAGAGCAGGGCACGGAGAGTGGATGCTCAGGGGGTGGATTTTGCAGCATCCCCTCGCTCCTGCCCTGCCTAGCATCCCTCTCGGGTCCCTGGCATGTAGGAGGTATTGGTGGGCTGAATGTGGGAACGCTTGGAGGAAGGCACAGAGCCTCCTCTGTGTCCCTCTGACTCACAGTAATTTCATTAACTTGTCTCATTCAAAGGAGGCCAGACCCTGGCAGTGTGGGACACGCTGACTCTATCGAGGCTGCGCTGTCTTGCAGGCTGAAATCCATCCTTTCATTGATTCCAGCAGGGCCATCTCCCAGCCCAGCCGATTCCTCTTGGCTGTGCATGGAGGATTAATTCGCCCCCACTTCTGCCCGCTAAGGCAATCGCTTCTGGGTGAGAGCACAGCAGCCTTTTACCAGCCGCTCAAGGCAGTGGTTTACCCGAGGAAGGAGTGAGGGGCTGTATCTAGCCCAAAAGGGGGATGAAAGAGCAGGAGAAATATCCTCCTTGGGTGGGAACGGGGCAGAAAGAGAATTTTCTAGAGGAAGAAAAATGCATCTGTTCTGCAGGAGTCAGGTGCAGGAGTCATTCATCACCGCGAGATCCATCATCCCTTTGCTAGATGCTGGGACACCTCTGCCTCGATGGGACCCCCACGTGCTGTGACAAATCCCCCCCCCCCC